TGCTCCAGAACATCCCTTATGGCAGCAGCCTCTGCCCATTGTTTTTCAGTCACGTCTCTCTTCATGTAGGCACATAGCTACAGGCATCAGAAGCCTGACAACACTGAACACATGACATTGTAGAAGGGAGTCGTATTGATGCTCAGTGAAAAAGCAAGAGTTTGAGTTTTCCTATGGCTTTGAGAGTGGTTCTCAGATGAGAACCTCCCTGTCACTGATGCAGCACCACAGAAGGATCAAGTGACTGCTGCTACTCAGACACAGGCAGAAGGAGCCAGTCACTTTTATTGTACTAATCCTTTCTGCTTGTTTCTCCTCCTGCGGGCAGCGCTCCAGAGCTCTTCTCCAAGGCAGGTGGTTTCCTCTATTGTAGTCCTGGAGAGAAAGCTAGGACATACTGGCCACAGGTGAAATAGAATACAAGAATTAGCAGTGTGATGCAGGAGAGGAAGTGACAAAGGTGTTCTACAGGATTTGGACATTTTTTTCTGTATGGTGTCACATATGGAGTGTTTAAAATGTTGAAACATAGGGCTGAGTGATGTGTTCAGCCATGTCTATTTCAAGGTGCTAACAGATACTGCCTGCTTCAGAATGATACGGTGACCCGTTGTGTAATATGCAAAGCTGTACATAACACATCATGAAGGTGGCGGCTAGCGAGCACAGGTTCTGCTATGAATAACCCTGCATTACCATCCCATTAGAGAACTTGTCTCCGTATCACAAATACTGACAGTTATTCATATATTGTATACTTACTGAACTGACCCTTCACAGACACTATGAATAAACGTGATTGTTCTGAGTGTGCCAAAACACTGCAGTCTGCTATTAATCTGGGCATGGGAGTTGAGAATAGGCAGATAGAAGGAGGTAGGCCTCACACCATAAACTTACACAGGGTGAAATTAACCCCGTGCTGAAGTCCAGCACAAGATCAATGCACCACCTTGGTCCCAAAAACAGAGCTGACTGAAAGTATTAATGTGGTGAGCTGGAGCAACCCTGCCACTATCCCTGCCAAGGGGAGCGGGTCGCGGGTGGGAGAAGCGCGAGCCCGGCACAAGCGGCGGTGAGCTGAATACCACCACCCGGCGTTAGGGCGGGGGTGGATTGGTGCACGGCTGTAGGAGGGCGGATGGGGAATGGGGGAGTGAGTGTGCTGCTGCCCTGCACAGCGCCACTTGGTGACGTCATCAGAGTGACGGGAGGTGGGGGAATGTGCGCGCGGCCACCCGGGCCACCCCGGGTGGCGTGACATCATCCTGTATGGCATCATGAGCACACCGGAAGGGGAGATGGGGGATAAAGGTGGGGCAGAAAGCCCAGAGAGGGGAGCCGGAGGGTGCGGGTAACCGGGCTCCAGGGTGTTAAGGGGGAGAAGTCCCTCCTCTTTCCCCACTTGGCGTATCACCAAGGATCAGGAAGGGCGTCGGCGGCAGAATGGAGTATGGCCCAGGGTGGGGTCGTGGAGCCCGTGAGAGGGTGCGTTTAGGGGGAAAGCCCCCACCTGTTACCACGGGGAGCTGGATTCCTGGTGTTAGGGCCCTGGGCCGGGAGCGTGGGTGGGCCCGGACCCGCCCTCTGTCGCTGACAGGCAGCCTCAACAGGATGAACAACGGTGGATTTCGCATTACTCATAGACACACGGGAGTAAAATAAGAAGGGGGAATTACTACACAGGGCAACGGGGGTGGGACGAGCGTAGGGAACGACCAGGCATGGTACACGGACCATGACAATTAAACTATGACCATGCAATGAATGATTTTATCAAAGCAATTGAAAAGTCTCATAGGGTATGTCTACACTACAGCGTTATTTTGAAATATCTTATTTTGAAATAGTTATTTCAAAATATCTTATTTCGAAATAATGCATCTAGACACAAAATGCATTTCGAAATAGCATTTTACTATTTTGAAATAGCACGTCCACACTGATTGGATGCTGAATCTCATTTAAGGCCATCCGGAATCAGTTCTGACAGGGCATCAAGTCAGGAGTTAGCCTCAGGCAGCAGCCGCACAAGGTATCTGAGGCCTGTGCTTAAAGGGAACCACTCCCCCAGAACAGCCAGTTCTCAGGTTTCCCTGCTTGCTTGCCTACCTCGCTGAGGGACAACAAAGCATTTTTTTCTCTGGCTGCACTGGTTGCCCTCACTCAGGATACCACAGCACTCTGCAGCATGGAGCTGGAGCCGCCCCTGGGCACTCTGGTGCTTCTCCTGGACGTGTTGCTGTGAGCCTGGCAGCATGTTCTGCAGGTAGTAACAGTCTCCCTGGTGTGCCCCACTGGGGGCTTGTGCCTCATTCCTCTCTCACGTCCTTCCACTTACCCCTCCCTAACCCCCCTTCCTTCTGTACAATGAAAGACATGAGTTCATTACAACAAAGTCTCTTTATTGAACAAAACTGGGGTGGGGAGGAGGAATGAAACTGAGGTGAGACTGGGGAAAGAAGGTGGGAGAGGAGAAGAGGGAGGATGGGAGAGGGGAGGGGTAAACCTGGGAGGAGGCAGGGGAAGGCAAGGGGAGGAAGGGGGAGGAGAAGCTCAGGGCTCAGGGTTGAGGGTCTCACCGGCCCAACTGTCTCCCAACACCATGGGTGCAGAGGCCTTGGTGTCCCTGGGGGTGTGGGGAGGGTGTGGAGGAAGAAGCGGGAGGGGGAGAAGAAGTGGGAGGAGGAGCGGTAGGTAGCTGGGGAAGCAGCAGGGGCTGGAGGAGGAGCTGGAGCAGCAGGAGGCAGCAAGCTCTGCACCAGTGTCTGCAGGTGCTCGCAGATGGCACGGTTCTGGGCAAGCTGCTCCCGCTGGAGCTGCAGGTCTTCCTGCCCCCAGTGGTTGAGGGTGCAGGGCTTGCAGTGCCCCCAGATGCTCCTGCTGGTACCCCTCGACTGCATGGATGGGCCTGCGGAGTTCTCGGGTGCGGGAGGATGTCCCGGGGGGTTTGGTGTGGTGCACCCTGCACTCGCAGCTGGTGTGGCTGTGGAGAAACAAGAGAAGTGGTCAGTTATCCTTGGGGACACAGTGGGTGAAGCCCAACCCCCCTCTGCAAGGCGAGAATGACAGGTCTCCTCACCATCAGAGCCAAAGTGCTTGCACAGAGGCCATGTTCGGGATGTCCTGCTATGCCAGGTAGTGGGAGCTGCCCTGGGACTGCACCCATGCCCCTGTGCTGTATATAGTGTAGGGGTGTGGGGGGGAGGAGGGGAGATGTCCCCTGCCTCTGTGTAGAGGGGGCTTGTGGAGGAAGGGTGTCCTGCTGTGTCCCACCCCGGGGTCAGGAGCATATCATGTCTCTTCACACATGCTTGTGACTAACAGGCCAAGGCCCCTGTGTGGCAGCCAGCTGGGGCCATGTGCCCAGGGGTGGCATGGTACATGCTCGCATGTGCACAGGTTGCTGCCTGATCCTTGGTCAGCAAGGCCTACGCACATGGTCCCTGGTCTCCCTCCCCCTGCCATAAAGGGACAGTGATGGCACTCACATGTTGTTGCCTCCCCGGATGACACCGGTGACAGGTCCGCTGGGACGGCTCAAGGGTCCTGGCTGTGCGGCACGCTCCCTTCGGGCTCCTGCAGTTCCTGGCCCTCCTCCTCCTCCTCCTCCTCCTCCTCTATGCGTTGGTCAGGGCCCTCTGCCCCAGGGTTGATGACCACCTGGGGGGCACAGACCATCCCGCCCCCCAGGATGTGGTCTAGGGCATGAAAATAGGGGCAGCTCTCTGTGTCTGCCCCAGTTTGGGAGCTGCCCCCTGTGGACCTGGCATAGGCCTGCCACAGTTCCTTAATTTTCATCTGAACCTACTCCTGGGTTCAGATATGGCCGTTGGTGGCCAGGCTAGCAGCCATCCTGCTGTAGATGGCCGCGTTCCTCCATCTAGTGTGGAGATCATGGACGTTGGAGGCATCCCCCCAAACCTCAATCAAGTCCATGATCTCCGCACTGGACCAGGAAGATGCCCACCTTCTCTGGCCCCTGGCAGGCTACTGGGAGCTGGGGGACTGGGCCCGGGGAGCGGTGGAGGGCTGCCTGGCACTGGCTGCCTGGCTCAGGCTGGGGCCACTGGGTCAGGGACAGTGAATACTGGCTCTGGGCTGGCAGGCCTGGACCTGGCACAGACACTGTGGCCAGACTCTACCCCTTTAAGGACTCTGGGGAGCAAGGGAGGAGAGGAGTTTTCCTGGTTGGGGCCAGAGTGTCCAGCAGGGCACCCTGGAAAGAGCTGGAGGCCCCCTATTTCAAAATAGCCCCTATTCCGCGTCTACACAGCACTTATTTCAAAATAGCAATTTCAAAATAGGCGCTATTCCTCATGGAATGTGGTTTACCAAGTTCAAAATAAGCCCTCCTTACGCTTGTGTAGACACTAGTACAGTTATTTCAAAATAACGGCTGTTATTTTGAAATAACTTTGCTGTGTAGACATACCCATAGAGAAGTGTTCCAGAAATGCAGATTAAAAAAAAAAAAGCTTGTATGGAGCTCAAGTTGGACAAATATGTAGGCACATCGTAATTCATCTTGGCTGTAATCACCATTGTGCCTGAAGTCTCTTAATTTTCAAGGAGTTTGGCCTCTTAACTGAGGATTTACAGCAGCTCAACTGCTATACTAGAACTCGGAAATAAAAGTCAATTTTGACCCACCTCTCCCCTGGAAATTAATGCTTAAGAGAAATCTCAAAGAGTCAATATTTCTGGATCTCCATCACCAGTGCTGCAGAAAAATCAGAGCTCGAAGCTGCCACTAAACAAATTAATGCCAAATTGAAAAGGCTATGCCAACTAGCACTCACATGGTTTTAGTGCTTTGACTCCACACAGAAGAATAATGATAAAAAAAGATGTGTCTGATTATATGATTTTATATTCCACCTGCTGTGTTGCTTTACACAGCTAGGGAGTGTAGAAGAATAGGAAAGTGCATTCTGAATCAGTTAGCCTTTAAAATTACCATTAAATTCTATGAAATCCCAGACAATGGTCAAATCAGGACATAAGTTTATTTTAAATTAGAACTGTTGATTAAAAACATAAATAACAGATAATTACAAGGGCACCTCTGATACTTTGAAGACAGGCAGAACATTCAGTTTATATGTTAAAAAACAAATGAAAAGTGGATGTTAAAAGTAAACTTAACCAAAGCATGTTACAAGAACTAGGGGAAGAACAAAGGTACGTAGGAATTTAAGCCTCAGACAAACCTAAATCCCTGTTTTAGGCTCTACAACAATCTACAAAATCTGTATATGGCTGCTGCCTAACTCTGCAGGCACTGAGGGGGAGGTCTACAGCTATCTCGGAATTAAATAAGACTGTAACTTTAGTATCTAAGAGAGAGCAGTTCTTGTGTTCCCCTCCTCACAGGGACCGTAATTGTCCTTGAGCCTTCAATGGCTTGACTGGCAGAATTCCTAGTCCTCTTCCCTACAGTGCATCTTAGTGAAACATGTCACAGTCTGGCCCATGGGCAATAGTTCACTGACTAGTTGTTTCTAAACTAAAACAAGGCAGAACTAGTGTTATTTAAATATGAATTGAATCCAGCATATACACTGTAGTTTAGACACATTTTTAAACTCACTCTTTAGGTATTTAGAACATGCCCATCACCACAGCAGCTCTTTGTCTATGACTATCCATGTACTGTATTTCTACAAATTGCACTTTAGTCTCCTAAATTCATTTTGTAGCAATAAAATTCATTGGGGGAATGAGGAAGGCCACTCCATTGGGAGACCTTTGCTTATCGGGGACAGCTAGTTAATAGGGTCAAACTGGCCAATCTTCAGAAAAGCTGTGGTTCTCCATGTGCTAGAAGATAAAAGACACTTGCCATGGTGACTATTTTTTATGTTGCCTTTTACTTTCCAATGCTGTACGCAAGGCTTGAAGAATCAGGTGTTTGTTATTCAGGATGTTGTATTCAGTCAGTTTAATCAGCTGATCATAATCTTTCTCCTTGTATGTGACTGAATATGTAGAATAGGGGGAAAAGTGACTGGTAAGATCAACTTTGCCTTCCTCCATCTCTGAACTGCAGCGCTTCACCCCTAGGGAAAAAGTTCAACAGGACATTGCTGCAGTATGGGCTGATCTCTTCATGTACCACCAATAATTGCACAGAGAGGGAGTTTTCTCTGTAATGAGAGGCTCACCCGTTTGAATGTCTGGGCACGTTTTACAAGTGTTTCTGTTGCAATTCACTAATTTGATCCCTGGATCATGGGAATGTCAGTTGCCTGATCTATAGGGGTATGTCTACACTACAGAGTTAATTCGAACTAACAGGCTACACATACAAACCGCTAGTTCGAACTTAATTCGAACTAGCGGAGCGCTTAATTCGAACTAGGTAAACCTCATTCTACGAGGACTAATGCCTAGTTCGAATTAAGTAGTTCGAATTAAGGGTGGTGTAGCCACTTAATTCGAACTAGTGGGAGGCTGGCCCTCCCCAGCTTTCCCTGGTGGCCACTCTGGGCACCACCAGGGAAACTCTTCTGCCCCCCTCCCGGCCCCGGAGCCCTTAAAGGGGCAAGGGCTGGCTACGGTGCCCGTGTCAGGTGCAAGCCTGCCAGCACCCAGCCA